TTAAATGTGCAAAAAAAGGCATTTTTGACTGAGCAGGTATCTTCCATCATACAACACAACACTCCACCAAAATATAAAGACCTAGGTTGTCCTACCATTTCTTGTGTTATAGGCAACCACATAATTGAACAAGCTTTATTGGATTTAGGAGCTAGTGTGAACTTACTCCCCTATTCAGTATATGAACAATTAGGGTTAGGAGAGTTAAAACCTACCTCAGTTATACTTCAATTAGCTGACCGATCAGTAAAATACCGAGAGGTATGGTGGAAGATGTCTTAGTACAGGTTGATAAGTTTTACTTTCCTATAGATTTTATAATTTTGGACACTCAACCTGTATTAAATATTAATGCTCAAATTCCTGTTATTTTAGGCAGACCATTCCTAGCAATTTCAAATGCTTTAATTAATTGCAGGAATGGTGTGATGAAATTAACTTTTGGGAATATGACATTAGAGCTCAATATTTTTAATGTGTGCAAACAACCAAGGAATGTTGATGAAGATGTGCATGAGGTTAACATGGTTGAGTCTTTTGTTCCAAGCAGAGTATATGATTTTTCTTGATTTGATCCACTTAAGGTACTTGAAATGAGAGAGAGACAAAAATTTGAGGAGCTTCCACCAAAAACCAATCCACCAGTTCTAACTAGTGATAAAGCTCCCAAGCTTGACTTAAAGGAAGATTGGAATGGTCGTATATTCAAATCTAATTTTAAGCCGGATTGAGTGTGTGCTTTTATTTTTATTTGTACATAATAGTTAGATTTTATTTTATTTTATTTTGTTTAATTTTAGTTTCCTTTTTGTTTTTTTCAATTTATAGTTTTTTTTGTTTGTTGAGTTTTTTTTTTTTAGGTTTTAGAGTTGTTGCGGTACCAAGTATTCCTATCCATTTGATCTTTATTCATTATTTTTACTGAGCATTAAGGTATTTATTTTTACATTAAGGACAATGTTGGATTTAGGTTGGGGGGTATGGGTATGTTTTGTGTTGTGAAAATTCCTAGTTTATGTTTTTTTTTCTATTTTATTTACTTTGTTAAAAATATAAAAAATTAAAAAAAAATTGTTGGTTATTAAATATTTAAATAATATTTTTATGCATAATTTGACACCATCATATATAAATAATTTGTTTAACTTTAAATTTGTAACTGTTTAAGCATCACGTAGAATTTTATTCTATATTTTTGTATCTCATATCATGTTCTTTAAAAAAAACTCACAACTTGTGCACTTTAGACATTACCAAGTTGAAAATTTGTTAGGTATTTTACCTTGAGAACTTGAAACATATAGTGGAGATGCATAAAAACCTTAGTGAGTTTTGATCCAATCTTTTTGGAGGGTTATTTACATTTACTCAATAAAGAATATTTTTATTCAGCTAATTTCCTTTAATGGTCTCATTATTTTTATTTTGGTCAATACCAATATTATGAATGATTACTTGACTTTAAATTATTTGCATGGGAAGTGTGTTATCTAAAGCTCTTGAGATATGATTTTAGGCCATCTTTGATATTACTTGAAGCCTTATTATTTGAATATTGTTATCCCTAGAAGCCATGATTGAGCCTATGAAGCAAAATTTTATGTTTTTTATGCCCAACATATAATAACCAAGCCAATTGAAAAAAATATAATATTTTTTACCCTTGGTTATCCCAAGATTGAATTTTTTATTGTTTATGTAATTTGAGAGATGTAGGTTGAGAAAAGATAATAAAAAAAAAAGTTTTGCATACTTGTGAATATTTGCACTAGATGTCTTGCTGAAAAAAATAGAAATATATACATTCAGTTGTCTTGCTAAAAAAAGAGAAAAAAGTTGGAAAAGAAAAAAAAAAGAAAGACTATATGTTTAACAGACTTAAAAGAAAAAAAGAAAAAGAAAAGAATAGCAAGCATGTGTTTGAAAAGGAAAAAATATGAGCAAGTGTTGAAAATTGTGCTTCTAAATGGTGGAGAGTGAAAGGTTATGGAAACAATATTGATTGTGTAATGTACATGTTCTCTCAGGATAATTTTTTGAATTCTTGAATATCCTTCATTTCAAAACTCAAATCCCAAGGCCCCATTACAACCTTAAATAAAGACATATCTGATCTCACAAGTCTAATGGTTGATGCATGACTTGTGTGAGTAAATAAGAGAATGGTGATTATATATATATTGTGTGTTAATTTCCTTTCATGAGACTATGTCAAATTCTTTTCTTTTGGATTATGTTTTTTTTAATAGACATGTGAGCATTATTTTGTTTTGATTTAAATATCTTCTTCTCACATGTGATATTTGAGGGATTAGTCACTATAATCTGAGAGAATTTTTAATGAGCGAATTATATAGTGAGGTTTGACATTGAGACGAATAGTTGATAGTTGTTGAGGTGATTACCGGATAAATTATTGACTTGGTATAGTAAATTCACATTACACACGAGTTTATATGAAAAATGATAAGTGCATACATTTATATAGCGTGTAAGTTCTATATTTTGTTTTGCATGTGCCTATAAAAAACTTGTAGCTTAGAATTTTTATATTCTGGTAGCAATTTGTGTTATAAAATTATTATTCCAATATTTGATCACAGGGTGATGTTTGTGGGTATCATTTTTGGAAACCCTCACGAGACTATATTCGTCCACTAGGGAGAACCTAGGGGTTTATAGGCTTGTTGCATATACTAAATGAAATCATGAGTCCTTTGAAAGTGGCTTTGTGTTTTATTTTATTAGGATAATTTTTTATAGTTTTTAAATTTTAGGATTCATGTATTACTAGGGACTAGTAATATTCAGGTTGCGGGTGTGATTAACCATCAAAATTGCTATTTTATTATACTTAATGATTGATTAATTGCATATTATTTGTGATTAAATGTGTTAAATTCTTTGATTTCTAGTTTGATACTTTTTCTAGTTGTTTGGTTTATTTTGCAGGTAAATTAGTTAATTTAAAGTAATAATGGATAATGCAAGTGAATCAATCACTAGAGGAAGAATCATAATTGATAAAGATTAAAGAATCAAGACTGAAATAGGAAGACTTGAAGATATGACATCAATTTAATCTTTATAAGAGTCCAAGTTGAAAGAAAACTCATTTAGAGTTGGATTAGGAAAGTATCCTAGAAGAAAAGGATTTGATACATCTTCAGTATTTTGGTCATAACTTTTGAATCGGATATCCGATTTACTTGATTTTTGGGGGTTACAAAGAAGACTTCAAGGTTTACAAAAGTGTATTTCACAAAATGTTCGTGATTTAACCTCTAAATATGTAAACTTCAAGATTGAAGGCTGTACATATTTTGTACCCGCATCTCAAAGATTTTATGTATGAAATTTAACCTTACAAGACTTCTTTTTGGGAGAGAAATTCCTTCCAAGACAACCTTATATCTTCTACCTGTACTTAGGATTTATTATTAGTATAAATAGGGGTTCTCATTTAAAGATTATGATTATTCTTTTTTCCATCTTTTTATTTTTATTTTAGTTTGTCATGTCTGGCCAGAAGGCTAAGCTAGAGTTAGGGGAGAACCTCTCAATGAAGTACGGTAATTTTATTGATTCTGAGTTTAATGGTTTATAATATTTTGTTAATTTAACTTCTGATCTTATAGCAAAATTTTTGCTCTGTAAAAATCCTTGAGTCATTGTGTCATGTACATCGATTGATTGCATTTCCCTGCGAGTAAATAACTGGTTATTCCAGGCTTGAGATATTTATCATTATTTCATAAAATAATATAATTAGATGATTATTCAGGTTCCTAAATAATCTTTTGATTTTATCTTTTGGTTTTCTTACTTAATTTGTTACTCGAATCAACCGACATCTGATTTTTGTCTCAAGTTAAGATTTGAGTCTTTAATCATTATTGTATGGAATTGAGAGAGAGTATCTGATGCTCTAGTATTTTTATTATATTATTTAAATATCTCCAATCAATATTTTCAACTCAACAAAATTTTTACACAAATTGTTCTCTCAAATTTTCTTTGGTATTTATGTGATTGCTTTTTGTTACAATTCCCTGTGGTTCGACCTCGGTCTTCCAAATATTATATTATTTCGCGACAACCTGCACTTGGGTGATCAATTCTAAATATGTAGCAGGGAGGAGGCAACAGTAGTTCGAGAAGAAGATTTCAATTCTTTTATGGCATCGTCTAAAAGGCTACTATCAATATTCAATAAGGTAGAGATAAAGAAGAAAAGAAAAGAGGAGGAGTTGTCTGCTTTGGCTGTGACACTTGATAAAGTCCAACCTGTAATTATGACAAGATCAAGATTAAGAACTTTCAAGTTGACAAAGCCAAAGAAAACCTATAGATTTAGACATTATTAGATTTCTTCTACAACAGGAATTCTGTGGATTACATGGCAACAAGCTATTTAAACCCATTCAAGAACTGTCTTCGACCATGGATTGCTGCTGCCCAGATGCTACTGTTCACCTTATTGTGCAGCTAGAATTTCCTTTGGCAGTTGCAGTTGGATTTTATGGAGTTTCAATTCAGCAACCTGAAACTCCCATTGTTCATGTCACAGTTCACATGATTGTGCAGCTGGGATCTTTTGGAAATTGTTGTTCCTCCTTCCGCTAGACTTCTTAGGTTGGACCCCTTTTTTAGTTGAATTACTCGGTTATGTAAAGGGGCAAGGGTTATATCCTCCACTCTATTTTCGTGATCAATAAAAATTTGCCCTAAATGGGCTTAATTTAAAAAAAAAGAGAGATTTAGACCTTGCCAATAAGCAGCATGGATAGAATCAAAATTCACCATAGGCTCAGAAACACAAATAATATCTAGTTGGTAATGAGTGATAAAATTCATGAGAACACATTGAAACGGGTCATTGCCCACCCCTCTTACATTCCAGTACAATACTTTCATTAAACATGCGAAGATTCCACCTAATAACGGGTATTATAAGAGTTGTCCCTCATTTTTCTCAATCGTTTTCTTTGGAATTTTGATTACAAAATTAAAAATGGAGCCTCCACCAAACTATCACCCTGAGCCACCATAGTAGCTTCTAAAATATCCCAATCATTGGGAGTGTTCGGAACAATAATCACTTCTTGTGAATCTTTCAGTACATTGTTGTCTGTCGGCACCGATAAAATGTCCTCAACTTCCATGTCTTGTTCAACACCCTCACCCAACGGTGTTACCATGGTTCGTTGGACAAACATCTTCCTTTTGCTCATAATGACTAGAAACAACATCACCATGATGGGTCTGCGGATCCGAAACTTTGCCAGATTGTTTAGAAGCATCCACAGTTGGTTTACCCACTTTAGGAATGACTTTGCTTCTGACTTCTTCTTTCCATCCCTACACATTGTCACGTCATGTGTTTACAATTGCAAGAGGGACTATTTGTTGGATATCCATGTGACAATAAACTAGTGGCTCTATTTACAATTAAAGCAAAATACATGTCAGTGCCTGAGGCTGCCAAGGAAGCGTTGTGGTTGAGATGGTTGGTTAAAGAGCTTGGTTTAAAGCAAGGAGGAATTCATGTGTATTGTGATAGTCAGAGCACCATTTACTTGGCAAAATATAAAGTGTTTCTTGCCAAGACAAAGTATATAGACTCACATTTATCACTTAAGAGGCAGAAGTTTATGGAGACTTAAAGCCAATCAAGCTCTTGGAATTGGCAGAGTTTACTTAAATTAAGATGCTTAACCAGGCCATTCATCAAGCATGTGATTGGGAATGGGCAAGCTACAATGCTTTGGTATGATAATTGGTGTCCTATGCGGCCTCTGGATTCATTGTCAGTATGAATGGACTTGAGGACCTTCACCTCAATGTGGAGGAGCCTGTTAGCAGTATTATTAACAATGGCCAATGACAATGGCCACCAAATTCCGCTCTCATCCAAGTTGTGGTTAATTCCATGCCTACCTACCAACCCAATCCTACTAATAAGGATACTATCAAGTGGACCTCCAATAGCAGATTGGGATTCAACTCCAATTCTACTTGGGATCACATCAGACAAACGAGATCCCCTGTTTGCTGGTTTAAGCTAGTATGGTCTGGGAAATCCATCCCTAAAATGTGCTTCATTCTTTGGCTAGTAATAAAGTGCAGGCTCAACACACTTGATCGATTGCAATCCTATGTTGCTCACTTGGGAACAGGTTGTATTCTTTGCAGGAATTTTCATGAAACTCTTCCTCATTTATTCTTTGCTTACTCATATTCCTCTAGTGATTGGTCTGCTACTTTCTCATTTGCTAGGGAGATTTGGCAGCCTAAACCTTGGCATGACTTTGTGGATTGGGCTGCTACTAACTGGAAGTGTAATTCGATGAAGAACTTGATTTGCAAAATATGCTTGGTTGCCACAGTTTATCACTTGTGGATGGAGAGAAAAAATAGAAGATTCAGAAATCAGCATAAGGATTCAAGCACTGTTACCCGCCTTATACTGTTGACAGTGTGCAGTCGACTGGCTTCACTAAAATTCAACACATCATGTAGCAACATCCAAATAGTTTAGAAGTGGAGACTTCCTCAGAGCTGTCTCTTCTAATCCTTTCCCCTGTTCTAGTGGATTCCTTTGCTCTCTATTTGTGTGGTAGTTTTCTAGAAGTGGTCAATCACTTACTTCCCTTTGAATCCCACCTTGATGGATTCTTTGGAAGCCCACCTTGTTGTCTTTGTGTTTTTGTTGCTGCCCTGTTACCACTGTTCACCTTACTGTTCAACTGGTTTCTTTGGCAGCTGCAGCTGGATGTTTCTTTGGTTGCTGTCTTTTGTGACTGTTAGGCTGGTTGTTGTCCTGTTTTTCATTACCTTTACACCTTTGTAAATGTTTTCCATATGCAATATATTTTACTTTTCGAAAAAAAAGTATATACATGTGAGGTTTCACAAGGTGAGAGAGTTAATTATCTCTAAGGAGATAATACTAGAAAATGGGCATGTTTCGGAGAATGCAACTGACAAGTTGACAAAGCCAATTCTTTTTGATAGGTTCAAGCATTTTTCTTGGAATTGGTTAATATTTCTCAATGTGAGAAAAAAATGACATCCCCAACCTATGGGTTTGAGATGCAGACAAGTTAAAGTACTTTTTCAGAGTGGTGAATTTTCACCAACGTGAAGATTGTTAGAAATAATAAGTGACTCATATTCATTAAACCCAAAAGTTAATGGGATAGTTCAGTTGTACTACTGTTTGGTTGTTGGGGTCGAATAATAGGTTAGGGGATGCAAAGAATACCCCACTGCAAGGAACGGGTACATTAGAGGTTTCCAATGTATATCAGGTGTAGGAGTTGTACTAGGAGTAATCCAAAAAGTTTACAAGGAATTGATTACTAGGACTATATTTCCTAGTTGGCCTATGATTGGGGTTATTAACTAGCGTCTATAAATATGATGTAATCCTTTGGATTCTGATGATAATCAAATAAAAGTTATTTTTGTGAACATAGGTAGAATTTCTATCGAACTACGTAAATCTTGTGTTCCTGAATATCTCTTTCTTAATTGTTTTCCATGTTGCACGTTCACAACACAAAGTGACCAATAAGTGTGCTCATGTGAGATGCTCGTGAACACCTCAGTCACCACAAACAAAAAATTGATGAACTAATAACACAATTAAAAGAATGGAAATGAAAATGAACAATATTTAGGGGACTATTAAAGTATTTTACCAATACATTCATATGTGCACGAATATATTATTATACATGCATTGATGCTTGTCAAAATAAGAAAAAGTCGAACATAAAAGAAAAAAATAATTTCCAAAACTAGCGCAATTTAACAAATTTGTCAAATACGCAAACAATTAAAGATAAATGTAAACAACGTTCTCAAATGCCACCTAAACGCTTTCAACAAGAGAAACTTCATTAATGATTCTGCTTTCAGGTTTTGATTCCAAATCATCGAGATAATGCTGATAGATATAAGATGCAAAACCCCAAATGGCCAACAACATTGCAACCACCTTCAGTCCAGTCATCTTGTCTTGGAAAATGAACACGGCAAGAACCGGAACAATGGGCAAACCCAAGGTACTTATGACATTGGAGAACAGAGAAGAGACCTTAAAAATCAGCCCAATTGCCCCAATACTAAACACTTGCCATGTCACAGCAGTGCATACCAAGTTCATTACGTACGATATGTTACCAAGTTCATATTCCTTCATCTCTCTTCTCAAATTCCTCCATTCCCCACAAGTGAAAAGCCCCACTAGGATCACACACGTTGCTACGAGAGATTGGTAGATTATTACATTCATGACCACTCTAAAAGTTTCCCTCTTAAGAATTTTTCGAAATGCAAGTTGGGTTATAGAGAGGTTCAATGCATAACCAGCAGATGCAGCAACAGTGCACATAAACCCGACCACATACTTCCCTTGTGATGTTTTATTGGAGTCTCCAGAGTCATCATTTGAGAAAACAAGGAGTGTGGAGGAAATGGTGAGGAGGAATAAAGAGTTCACTATAAAAGGAGTGAATTTTTGGGCATTAAGGAAGTAGGAAAAAAGAGCATTGAAGCCCAATTGACTTGCACAAATGAGAGAATAAGTAGAAACTGGAAGGTATTCGAGCCCAATTGTGTATAACATACCATATGCTGCTAAGAATACACCAAGAAAGGTGTATAAAGAGACAAGGATTAAGGTAGAAGGTGGTTTTGTTTGGTTACTTTGTGCAATCCCATGTTTGGTCGGTGAGACGAAGAGAAAGGGGATAAGGATGGGAAAGCCTGCGGTTTGGACTAGGGTTGCCATCCATTTGCTCTTTGCACCTTTGTCAAAGTAGAGTCTTCCCAAGAGTGTGGCAGCTGATTGGCCAGAGAGGACTAGGAGAGAGAAAATTACCATTTGGATCCACCAGTTGTATTGTCTAAGCTTTGGGACTGTTAAGTGGTGGTTGACATTGGCATTTTCAGGTGGGCTTGCTTCTTTGGCTTCATGACCTGGTACAATAACATAATGGAAAATTTATTTCTAAATTTTTAGATTTATGAATTCTACTACTCTCACGAAATAATTTTTTTATTCACTCTTACAAAACAAAACAAAACAAAATTACGACATGCCCTTTTGGTGCACAAAGTTGTAGTTATGCCTAACTGAGTCCTCCAAAGTAAGGTCTAGATCCTCTCTAATAATTTTTTCTCAATTTTTCTTCTTAAAAATATCATATACTTTTAATAAGTGAGAAATTCACTTATATATAATAGGTCTGCCTGAATTAATTCATGGTATTTGATTCACAAATAATAGAAATAAAGAGAAAATGTGTCTGATTATTGTAGTGATCTCACTCCCTAAACCTCCAAACAAAGAGAGAGAGAGAGATGGTAAAAATAGTGTGTACCACTTTTCGGTAAAAAAAATTTACCATTGTGTGTGTGTCTCTACGGTTAAAAAAAACTACCACTTTTTTATGTTGCCGACATTTATCATTTTTTATGGTATTTTTTGATCATTGTTGTGATAAAAACACTGATAAAAGTGAAAAAATATTCACAAAACTAATAATTTTTTTTGTACCAGAGAAAAGTGGTAAAAATAATTAAAAAAAAAAATCATTCAATGTAGTAGTGTAGTTGGTTAATGTGCATCTCTTACTTTTGATGGGGAAGCCTCTTTTTCTATAAGTGACAGCATTAAACACAATCCAACTCCAGTGATACTATTCATCTGCATATCTGGTTTTATTTTTTATTTTCTTACTATTCATCTATATATGAATCAATTCTTTTCTCAGGAATGATTAAGACCCTTGGAAAAGAAAGGACCTCTAAATCTGATTACCTCAATATGTGCATGTGGGTGTTTTAGCCCCGAACACTCATGCAGACAATCATATGAAAATTATGCAAGTCCATTAAACTTAAATTTTGTGAGTTTAGTTGGACTCCATTTTTTTTTTTTTGCCGGTTGACTTTTGTTGTACCCTAACTCAAGATCTACGATTTCTTGTCTTGGCCTTTGTTTGACATTAAATCAAATCATCCAGGTTTTACTGCACTCAAGAGCATTTATCATTGGTTAATGTTTTGCAAGATTCTAAAATTACCCATAACAATCGTATGAGAAAATTTTTAATGGGTTTAACATACAGCTTGACAGTGCAAGGGGGACACACTCGGTGCAGTTAGCACAACCCCAGCTTATCAGATGCACAAATAGAATTTTTTTAACATTTTTCTATCAAATTAATTAGTGATAATAATTTTTGAAAATATACAAATATTAATTGATTATGTACACTACGTAACAATGTCACAAATGTTAAGCACACTAAAAAGTTTCTCAAATAATAACTATGAACTCCATGGTTCCTTTCTT